AAACCGGCACTGCCCAGTGTCCCCAGTGTCATCAACTGGACCCCCACCCCTGTGACCTGGAGGTGACCCAGGACCAGGACAGGTGACCCAGAACCACAAGAAATGACCCAAAACGACTCAAAACAACGAAACCTCTTCATTTTCCCCATACACACCGCTCCGCCAGTCCGTGTCCCCAAGGACTGTCACCCTCTGTCCCCAAGGACTGCCACCCTGTGTCCCCAACCACCCCAGGATCCCCATCCCCGTGACCTGGAGATGACCCAGGACCAGGGGAGGTGACCCAGAACCACAAGAAACGACCCAAAACGACCCAAAACAACGAAACCTCTTCATTTTCCCCGTACAACCGCTCCGCCAGCACCACCCCCTGTCCCCAAGGACTGTCACCCTGTGTCCCCAAGGACTGCCACCCCCTGTCCCCAACCACCCCAGGATCCCCATCCCCGTGACCTGGAGGTGACACAGAACCACAAGAAACGACCCAAAACGACCCAAAACAACGAAACCTCTTCATTTTCCCCGTACAACCGCTCCGCCAGCACCACCCCCTGTCCCCAACCACCCCAAAGCGCCACCGGGCTGTCCCCGAGGTGCCACCGGGCTGTCCCTCAGACGGTGGCCTCGCTGTCGGGGCTGTCCCCGCCGTCCAGCAGCGCGTAGGCGGCGTGGCTCTGGCAGGGCCGCTGCAGGGGATGCGCCAGCAGCTTGGCCATGCAGTTGTGCAGCTCCAGCGCCGGCCCCGCCAGCGCCACCTCGTACTTGTAGCTGGTGCCTTTGGTGTCCAGGCTGCCGAAAAAGCCGAACATGTCCTGCGGGAGGGGACAGGGGGACGCTCGGGGACGGGGACAATCGGATGGGGCGGCCCCAGGGGGGGAATCGCGGAGGAATTCCGGTTCTGATGCTTCCAGTGAGGAGGAATCTTGATTTGGTCGCCTTGCTTGGACTCAAAATCTCGTCGCTGCGTCTCCCGGGTTGCCCAAATTCCCCTCCTAAATCCCCCAAATTCTCACCCCAAATTCCCCTCCTAAATCCCCCAAATTCTCACCCCCAAATTCCCCTCCTAAATCCCCCAAATCCCCTCAATTTCCTTTCCGAAATCCTCCAAATTCCCACCCCATTCCCACCCCAATTTCCCCTCCAAATTTTCCTCCTAAATCCCCCAAATTCTCACCCCAAATACCCCC